TTTTTTTTTTACCTTTTAAATCAGCCGGTGCTGATTTGCTGCATTTCCGGTGCTAGATGGGGGAAAAGTGCATGTACAGGGAAACCTGACAAACTCAGGGCCTAAGAGGAGTGTGTTCCGCGTGGCCGCGCTGTTCCTTTTCCTCGAGTTAACCATGGTTTAACATCCGGGTAGCTGTGAGCTCCGGCGACCTCGCAGCCTCTGAAGCACCGCGGTTCCCAGCAAGCCCAGGCTGACCCGGACTCAGTGACTAGATGGTGTGAGGCTTCTTCGCTCTGATCCTGACCTCGAACCTGAAAAAATGCAGACAGAGGAGACTGGGGACGTGGGGGACATTTCCCTTCGCCAGGTTGGAGGCAGTCAGAATCAGGGGCCCTGGCTTGTGCGCCAGATTGTTTAGTTTGCCCCGAATGTATTTTGTCTCCTGGGATCCCATCCTGGTTTTCCTTTGGGGAAAGCATCCTGCCCTCGTTTTTAGTCTTGGTGTGAAGGGGCGTGTCCCCCAAGACACACACTCGAGATGAGCGTGTGTCCCAGACTAGATCTAGTGCTGTCACACAGGAGGGTCCAGGCACAGGCAGGCCTGGGATTCTGACGACAGGTCTTTAAAAATAAGTGTTTTCTGTCCCCACTGCGGTTCATTCCTCCAGAAGCAACCATGGAGTTGATTGTGATCATCTCTGCCGCCCCAAAGAGGCTGCTCAACAATGAAGTCAACATAGGGCCGGGGATTTAGCTCAGTGGTTCCGCTGCCTGCCTCCCAAGTACAAGGTCCTGAGTTCGATCCCCAGTACCAAAAGGAAAAAAGAAAAAGAAAGAAACAATGACGTCAACACCAAGAAAAGCTGAATTAGAGGCGACCCAGTTTTGAAGATCATGTTTGAGTATCTGGATGCAGCCGCACCTGAAGCCGGCATCCCTGCACATTGCAGTTTATAGAGCCAATAAGTCGTTTTGATAGACATCAGATTGAGTTAGTTTATGTCATGTCAGTGAAATACTGTAGTCCTCACTTGTACATTCAACCTCAGGCCAAGCTTCAGTCTCAAGGTTGAGTTTAAGGCTGTGCTAGGGGTCCCATGGGTCCCTCCTACTTGGCCAAGAGTTGGTAGGGGAGGGAAGGGTGTTGTGATAGCGGGGTAGGGGCAGGCAGAGGAGCTGGGTCGCAGGGATGGAGAGTCGGAGGGACCTAAGCAAGGACGTCCCCTCTCTGAGCCTTAGTCCACTCACCTGTAACATGGGGAGAACAGTCCCTCCCTGTTGGGCTGTGTGGAGATTTCACAAAGTATCTAGTGTATAATAATTGCTCAAGAAATAATGGCCATGACTAGTCCTAGACACCCATTGTTGGGGATCAGGGGCCATCTCCCAGCCCCCTCAGCAGTCCAGACAATGAGGAGGAAGGTTCTGGAAGTCTGGGCCTCTGTTGTCACTGTGAGCCGCAGGCACCTGCTGCCCGTCACTCCAGGAAGGGGCTCCTCGCCAGCCAGAGCAGGCGGCTTCTATTCTAGGCCAGATCCTGGCCGCGTGCAGCCGCTGTGAGCACGTACACCTGCTCCGAAACCCCAGCTGGGCTCCAGGCTCCACCCATCCCCCACCACCCCCAACTTCCTTCCTGCAGCAACTGATGCTTTTGCACAGGAAGCCTGCATTTGGGCATCTCCTCCTTGCCTTGCCGTGCCGGCTGTGGGCCCTGTCCATGCTCATCTCTCAGCCCCTCTAGCCCCAAGAATCAGGTCCAACACACCCATCTTACAGACCGGTAAACTGAGAGTGGTCCCCACTGCAGGTATCACAATCGACACCCAAATCCTGATGTATTCTTCCCTCGAATCTAACGTGCTTCCCGCTGCAACAGGGGTTATATCGTGAAAGAGTCATCAAAAAACATAGCCCACAAGTGCACTCAGAGATGTATCTCAGAGAAAGAACATGTGTTCACATATAAACTTTTACACGAACATTTATGATGACTTTATTCATAACTATCAATAAATAGAAATAACCTAAATGTCCCTCAATAGGAAGATGGTTGACATGAAACGGTGGTATAGCCACACCATGGAATATTATGCAGCAGTAAAAAAGGTATGGGTGCTGAATCTATGCAACATCTTGGATGTATCTTAAGGGCATTATGCTGAGTGAGTCCAAAAATGACCATTCTCAATAGGTTATGTATGGTATGATTCTATTTCTAAAACATTTCCAAAACAACAAAGTGGAGAATAGATTAGTAGTTACCAGGGGCTGAGGGGAGGAGAGTTGTAAGTATACAAGTAGCAAGAGGAGGCTGTTTGTTAACGGAACAGTTCTTCACCTGGATTGCAGAGGTGGTTACACAAATTCACACACGTGATAAAAGTGCATAGAGCTATAGATATGACTACATGTAAAATGGTGAAATCTCCGTAAGTCCTGTAGATTGTACCATCTCATTGGCTCGGTTTTAATATTGAACTATAGTTATGCAAAGTGCTACCAGTGTGGAAAATTAAATAAAGGGTACCTGGGACCTCCCTGCCCTTTTATTTGAAACTTCCTGAGATATTTATTTGAAAATATCAGTGTGATATTTTACATTCTTTTCTTTTTCAAGTCCTTAAAATCTTCATGTTAAGTATAGCACATCTCAATTCAGATGCTAGATTTTTATCAAAAGTATTGGATCTGTATTTATTTATTTATTTATTTTTCTAGTACCAGGAATCGAATTCAGGACTCGAACTCAGAACCTTGCACTTGCCAGGCAGGTGCAGTGCCACTGAGCTAAATCCCCAGCCCTGGATCTGTATTTAGATCTCTTCAACTTTTTGGTTTAAAAGGTAGATCTGCACACCTAACTTGTTCCAAATATACTTAAATTTTCCCAATAATTAAACATAGTCACTAGCTTTTTAACTTCAATTTATTTATTTTATTTTATTTACTTATTTATTTGGTGCCCGAGATCAAACTCGGGACCTTGTGCTTTTGAGGCAGGCGGCAGCACCACTGAGCTAAATCCCTGGCCCACTAACTTCAATTTAAATTAGTGAAAAGTAAGGCCAGGGATTTAGCTCAGTGGTGCCGGTGCCTGCCTTGCAAGCACAAGATTCTGAGTTCAATCCCCAGTAACAACAACAACAAAAACTTAATGAAAACTAAACAGAATCTGAAAATCAGTCAATCTCACAAGCTACATTTTGGCACTAGTAGCCACATTGACTCTTGTGCTGAGCACATCAAGTAGATAGAGGACTCCAGGGAAGACTTGAGTGATGAGGGGGATTTGAGCCAGGCCAGGGAGGTAAGTACACAAGACATTGTGGACAACAGAGGCAGATTCTGCTGATTGCCCATCCAGTAGCTACCCTCCCCTTTCCTTAGCACCTAAACTTCAATTTTCACTAGAAGTGACAATGGGCCAAATAAAAACAGATTTTCCAGCTTCCCTTGCTGATACTGTGGACAAGCCACTTCTTATCAATGGTATGTGATAAGCAGTTGGGTAAGACTTCCAGGAAAGCATCTTAGAGAGAGAGAGAGAGAGAGATTGGCTCAGCTGAGACATTGTTTTGCCCTGCCCTTGCCCTCCTTTTTCATGCCTGCAATGAAGATGTGATGGCTGGAGTTGCTGCAGCAATTTTGTACTCTTGATCATGAAAACCATGCTCTAAAGGCAACAGGATCAGAAAGTCAGAATGAGCAAGGAACACTGATGATTTGGGGGATACCTCAACCCAGTGTCATGGAAGGAACACTGATCCGATGTACAAGGTCTGGGGCCCTGTCCAGTAGGTGTCAAGTTACCAGTGCTGTCCCTGCCTCCCTGTGACGGAGGGGACTGCACCCAGAGCCAGGATGGGGGTGGCAATAGGCCACGCAAATGGGAAGGACTGGAGCCTCAAGATTCCAAGAGCCAAAAGCTGGCTGTGGTGGCACACACCTGTGATCCCAGCACGAGGCAGGCTGAGGCAGAAGGATCACCACAAGGTCAAGGCCAGCCTGGACTACATAGCGAGACCCTGGCTCAAAAAACAGAAAACAACAACAAAAAAATTCCGAGAGAGGAAGGTGAAGGGGGCCCGGGGGTGGGGGTGGGAGCAGTGTTTCTCGAAGGAAGCCAGTCCCGGCAGCTTGGGGGCTCCCAGCAGCCCTGTGAAGGGAAGAAGAGAGAAAGGGTGCCCGGTAGCGGCGCCTGGGAAGCACTCTCTCCGTCCTCCCAACGCACTTAGGGAGGAAGAGGTCAAGCCCCCGATGAGCAACAGTACGCCTGAGACAGAGGACTCGGAAGGGGAAGGGCTTGCTCCGGCTGCGGTTTTGGTGGTGCCAGCTCACAATTGGACAGGACCCTTGCTCCTAGGCCCCGGGACCCCAGGTGACCCTGGCAGGGGGCGTGTGGTGGACCAAACAGGAAGTGAAAGAGGAAGAGGAGGCTCTGGGGTCCGCAGGCCCCATCAGCACACGAATTCAGTGTCCTAGAGAGCGCCGAATGGGACCCAGGCCCTAAAGGCTCCGGCAGCTCCCGTGGCGCTGCCCTGGAGACAACGCCTCTAAAGCGTGGACCTTTGGACCAAACCGCGGTGGGCTCAGAGAGGGCGGTGATTCGCCTGAGGTCACACAGCTGGAGTCAGATTTCCAGTTCACTCCGGCCTGCAATCCTGTCTGCATCCCCTGCCGCCTCCCCAACGCCCCCACCAACCATAGCGCACTCACCCGCATCCTGTCCCTGCCTGTGTCCCTGTTCCTGCGTCACCGCTGCCATCGCTGATTAACTTTCTGTTTGCCTGCGTTATCTGGACCAGGGCTCTGCCTTTCCAAAGAGCTCACACGTAAACGGAGAAGCAAATAGTTATCTAGGGTGGTGACAGACATTGCTGAGAAGAAAATGGAGCAGGACAATGGAGTGGAGAGTGATACAGAGAGGAAAAGAGAAATGCAGGTGAGAGGTGGAGGGAAGGCCTCTCTGGGGAGGGAATGTTTTGGGCGAAATCTGAACATTAAGGAGAGAGTTCCATGAAAATCTGGGGAAAGGAGCTCTGGGCATGTGCAAAGGGCCTGGGGTACAAAGGAGTGACATACTTGAGAAACACAAAGGATGCCAAGTGGTGGGAGCTTGGTAGCCCAGGAGAGGGTGGCAGGAGAAAAGACAAGGTCAAGGGATGGATCATACAAGGTCTTAGGGGCAGAGATAAGGAGTTGGTTCCCTGGTTATGGGTGGTCTGCCGATGAGACTGTGCACTCTGTGAGGGAAAGAACCTTCCTTGTCCCAACCCTTACTGCATCCCTGAGAGCAGGGCTGGGCACAGGCAGGTGCCCAATAAACATGGGCTGTCCCCGCCGTTGTGAGGAGTCTGCCCTCCACTGGGGCCGCTTCGGAGTCGTCGCAGAGTCAACTTGACGACGCCATCCGTGGGCAGCTCCCTCCTCCGGGGAGCAAATGGCTTCATAAACGCGGGCAGGGCAGCAGGTGAGGCGTTCACCTGGGCTGCAGCCTGCTCGGTCCCTTAACAAGGGGAGGTGCAGAGCGGACCCCGACCGCCCCGATCTGCAGCCGCCTGCGCATCCACACCTGTCTTCTTCCTGGGCGCTTGGACTGACCCTCGACCCCGTGGCAGGTGCGGGCCGCAAATAGCGCCAGCGGGGCTCCTGCCTCCAGCTCAGAGTTTCAGAAGGTTCCCCAATCTCAGGGGTCAAGGCCAAATATTTAAGCCGGGTGTGATGGGGCACACCTGCAAAGCCAGCACTCTGGGAGGCTAAGGAGGATCGCAAGTTCGAGTCCAGCCTGGACAACTTACTGAGACCCTGTCTCAAAATAAAAAATAAAAAGGGCTGAGACTCTATCGATCCCCAGAACTGTAGAAAATCATATTTAATGCAATATTTAAAAAATTAATATCAACAAAAAAAATCTATGGTGAATGAAATAGTAAATGATGGAATGGGGTCTCTCCATGTTGCCCACGTTGTCCCCAAACTCCTAGATGGGAGCTTCAACTGATATTCCTGCCTCAGCTTCCTATGTGCCTGGGAATACAGGTGCATAATCACTGTGCCTGGCTACAGTAGTAAAATTTATAATAAAAATAGGGATTTTATTCCCACTCACCTTCAACTTTCATTTGTATGACCTTGACCTTCACTCTCATGACCTTGACCTCTCATCCGTAACCTTGACCTTCACGCGCAAAGCCCCCCCCCCATTTCCTGGCTCTGGTGCAGGATGGTTTTAGATGGTCCATATGTGAACATTATTTATTTTAAAGGGTTTTTTTTTTTTCAGTAGTGGGGATTGAACCCAGAGCCTTCATACTGAGCTACATTCCTAGTCCTTTTTCAATTTTTTATTTTGAGACAGGGTCACTAAGTTACCTGGGCTGGGCCTGAAATTTCAATCCTCCTGCCTCAGTCTCCAAGAGTGGAGCTGAGATTACAGGCATGCACCACCCTTCTTGGGTAGATATTATTATTATTATTATTATTATTTTATTACTATTATTAGAACAAGTGATTCTAGCCTTCCTGATTTGTGGTTGGGATCTCACGTGTTTCTTTTAAATACGTTAAGAAGCAAGTTAATTTAGAGAGAAGTAGGGAGTAAACAGTGGCCCAGGCTTTGTGTGGGTGGGAGTGATCCCTGCTGGGCACTCAGCGGGTGAGAGGCTGGGCCACTCCCCTAGGTGGATAAAGACAGGACCGTGAACTCCACAAGGACGACCCATCAAGGTGAACCAGGTTAGCTCAAGGAGCGCCCGTTTCATGGAGGGACCCCAGGGCTCATCAGAAGGTGACCCTGGCAGTCACTGAGCTTCCTTCCCCTGCAAGGTGGGGACCCCAGCACCTGCCACAGGTGGCTGAGCAGGGCCACAGGGCCAGGCAACTTTCTAGTTTAGGCTTTGTGAGTCCCTTTCCCCATAAACATGCTAAACAAACAAACAAACAAAAAAACCCAAAATAAAAAAATAAACATTGGATTTCAGGGCCTCATGGTTATAAAAATGGGTAGAACCCAGCATCAATTCTGTTCACTTTTATGCCAGTGCTGTTTAGGCATCCACTTGCTTATGTCAAGAAGTCGGAGCTGGCTGGGCGTGGTGGCACAAACCTATAATCCCAGCTATTCAAGAGGCCGAGGCAGGAGGATCATGAGTTCAAGGCCAGCCTGGACAACTTAGGGAGACTCTGCTTTGTTGTTGTTATTGTTTTTGAGACAGGATTTTGCTATGTAGTTCAGGGTGGCCTTGAACTCACTATGTAGCCCAGGCTGGCCTTGAACTCAGGGTGATCCTTCTGCCTCAGCCTCCCAGGTGCTGGGATCAGAGGTGTGCGCCACCACCCCAGCTTCAGGCCGGGTCCCACCCTCCCTGCTCCTGGCAGCAAGATGTCCTCAGCCCCTGGGACACTGATTGGTGTCTTCCAAGTCTCCAACTCTAACAGAGTGGCCGCTCTTTGCTGCACGCTCCTGTGTTTTTGAAAAGGACAAAGGAGAAAGAGCAATAGAGAATTTTGGATGTGGACTAAGGGTGCTCAGGTTTGTAGCTCTGTGTCCCCCCGCTGGCTCCTTGAGACGAGGCAGGCCAGACAAGGGTCACCTGAGCAAGAGGTCAATGCCATCCCCTTCCACGCATGCGACACTGCAGTTTTAAACAGTTGTCGCTCGAGACACAATTCTTCCTCCTGGGGAAGGAAAATCCAGCTGAGTGTGTGGTTTCCAGCTCCCCGGCTGAGTGGCGCTGGCCCTGACACCCACTGGGAGTGTGTGAAACCCTCACAACGCCAGCAGAAAGGACACTGCAGGGACCCTGCAGCTTCTTGTCTCTGCCTCAGTCCTGTCCCCTCAGGACTGGCGCGATGGAGAAACTGGGGGCCACCTCTTAACGTCCTGGCCTGGTGGTGGCAGCCATGGCAGAGCCCAGGGCGACCCTGTTCCTCTTCCTGGCTGCAAAGAGAGAAGGGGCTGGGGATGGGAAAGAGGCCCAGCCTGGGCACGCGGGGGACAGCCAGGGTGTGGGCAGTCAGGCCAGGCCGAGCCGAGGCTACGCCGGGTCCACACGGCCTCCACGGTGGGGGCAGTGCCACTTCCGGCTCCTGTAACAGAGTCCCCCGTCTCAAGGGCTCTGCCAAATGCACCCCCCAAGGGCTCCTTGGGTCGCTTTCCTCTCCCCCTGAGTTCCCCAAGGGCCGTAGGCAAGGGCATTCAAGGAACAGGAAAGACCCCAGCTGGCTGGGGTCGTTGGCTCAGTGACAGCTCAGGTACGGGCCCTGGTCACCATCATGAGATGCAGTCGTGCTTTGTCACTTCCTAGCTGTGTGGTCCGACTGTACCACTCGGTTCCCAGTTTCCCTGTCTGTAGAATGGGCTGATGACCCCACTGAAAGAATCACAGGGCCGCTTGAAGACGGAGTGTGTGCCGAGTGCCTCTGCTGGAAACTGGGAAGATTTTTAAGTACTCAAAAAATAGGAACATCCATGATTGTTTGCTCTTCTTTTTTCTTGTAGTACAGGGGTTGAACCTGAGCTACATCCCCAGCCCTTTCTATTTTGAAACAAGCTCTTACTAAGTTGCCCAGGCTGGGCTCACACTCAAGATCCTCCTGCCTCAGCCTCCCAGAGTGCTGGGATTACAGATGTGGACCACCAGGCCTGGCCGATTATTTGCCCTTTTTTCTGGTCTTACTTTTTTGAGACAGAGCCTCACGATGTATTCCAGGCTGGTCTTGAACTCACTATGTAGCTAAGGCTGCCCTCAAACTCATGGTGATCCTCCTCCCTCAGCTTCCTGAGTGCTAGTAGTACAGGTGTGTGCCACCACATCTGGCTTATTTGCATCTTGAAGAGAAAGGAGTGACAAGTGATCTTAGTTATAACTTTAGAGGGAATGTGTGTGTGTGTACACATGCTTGTCAGTATGGATGTGCGTGTGCACCATTGAGTTTACACAAGTATGTGTGCACACTTGAAACAAAGGTTGACGGAAAAGCATCCTTCCTCTAGACTTGAAACCCAAGAAGGGCAAATACTTCATTATTTACATTCAAAAGCTACTCATTAGGCGCTGCAGGGAGGGCACTTAGGAGGAAGAGGACCTCCAGGTGCCAGTGTTATTGTAAGTAGTGATGATAATGATGATGATGATGATGGGGAGAAGGAGGCTGGAGAGACCCCAGCCCTGCGCCGCAACTCTGCAGCCACCAGCTAGATCTAACGGGTCTGTTTGTTTACCTCCCAGGGCTCTCAGCACATCAAAAAGGGATTTAAGGCACACCCAACAATTAGCTTCAGAAAAGAAGGGTGAATGTGGCCCATTTTCTGGCTGGGAAGTCCCTGCTCCGGGACAGACCCCAGCAGTGACAGGTCACAGACCTCGGACCTGCCAGGAAGATCAACCAGGATCAGTTTGATAATTTGCTGATCACGGGGGACCCTCTTCCTTCAAAGGGACATGCAAACTATTCCCTCCTTTCTGCAGCACGTTTGCTTTTGTATTCAGTGGGTACCGATTGGCTTAGGAGTGGCTTGTAGTAATTTTTTTTTTTTTTTTTTTTTTTTAGCTCTAGGGCCTTTTGCACTGAGCTACAATTCTAGTCCTTTTTAAGTTTTGAGACAGTCTCACTAAGTCGCTAAATTGCCCAGGTTGGACTTGAATTTATGACCCTCCTGCCTCAGCCTCCCAGAGTGCTGGGATTACAGATGTGTGCCACCACACCCAGCTCGTTCTGTCCACCTTTGACTTCAAAGTGGTATAGACGAAGCTGAACCCTGTTTCGAAGAGCCACAGGATGGGGGCTTTGTTGTAGAGGACCAACCATTCCAGTTTCCTGGGGGGCAGGGGGGTTTCTGGGAGGTGGTGCTTTCTAGGGCCTTACTTGTGCCCTGCCCCCCAGACACCCCTTCCCCAGATGTGACATCAATCCCAGCTGGGGCAGTAGTGGGTGCAGTTGCTTTCAGCCGGCCTCTGAGGGTTCCTGCTTGCCCCATGTGGCAAGACAGCCCGTGAGCTCATTAGGGGCAGGAACGTGGCGTCTCGTGGGCCCTGGCAGGTGACATGCGGGGGTCGGAGAGGCAATCGCGTACAGATCGCTGTGAACTTCCAAGCAAACTGGAGACAGAAGATGGCCCAGCCCTGCGACACTGCAGATTTTAGGATCTCTGGCCCCTCCTCCATGCAAACCCCAGCATGCTGTACAAACCAGTGGAATAATGTGCGCTACAGACACAAAATGCACATAATTCTACTATTTCAGCTGTTTCTACTGCTTCCGAGATTTCATATATAAATATCTCTGCGTGTGCGTTTGTGTGTACGTTACTTGACATATTGACGAAGTCCCAGTTTGCCAACCTTCAGGGCATAATGCAAGAACTATTTTTCATCCTAATCTGCTGTAATGACATGTTTTATTATACTATTTCAGCTGTTTCCATTGCTTTCCCTGTTTCATGTTTTATGTATTTTAACTAATGCTTTAATTTTCATACATTGTGCCCCAAGGTAACTTGACAAGGGTTCCTCTGGAAAAATTAGCGGGCAGTGGCAGCAACAGCGACTGCAGACCCTACACACATGCCACACGGCACAAAGGAAAGGGTCCCAAAGGTGGGGTGGCAGAGAGGCTGGTGGCTTGGGGCCTTGTGTTTGAGACCCCAAGATGCGGGGTGCCCTGAGCTGACTCAGGGTCTTAGCCCCAGGTAGGGGTTGAATGTGTCCGTCAGATACATGGGATGGAAACTTGATTTCCGGTCATGGTGCTGGTATTTGGAATTGGGCCCTTGGGGCGGGTGGTTAGGATTAGATGGCATCATGCAGGTGGGGGTCTCCGTGATGGCATTAGAGGCTTTGTAAGGAGGAGAGACCTGAGCTAGCTTGCTTGCTCTGGCCCAGCACAGGACACCCTCCACCATGTTAGCATGCAACAGGAAGCTCTGGCAAGATGCAGTGCCATGCTCTCGGCTTCCCAGTCTTCGGGATCCTGCCCTAAATCAACCTTTCTTCTCTATAAATTTCCCAGTCCATGGTATTTGACTGCAGCAACAGAAAATGGACTAAGACAACCCAGTTTGGGCCCTGAAGGTCTGGCATCCCAGAACTCCCATTTTGCTTAATCTCCCTACCAAGAGGGCAGGTCTGGCATTTGGACAAGTGGAGCATGAGGAGGCAAGAGTGTGTGTCTCAGTGCACCACAGGCAGAGGCTGAGGTCTGGACTCCCTCTTCTTAGTTTCTAACCCCAGCTTGGCTAATGCTATCAGGGTCACTTGAATCTGAGGAAGTCACTTACACCCTCCTGAGCCTCAGTTTCCTCACCTGGAAAACGAGCAGGTCAAGTGTTTCTTGCAGAAGTGCTGTAAGGGCGGTGGGAGGGACGCGTGCTCTCTGCCCGGCATGCAGGCAGTGGCCAGGAGATGGCTAGGCAGTCACTGGCCAGTGGTGGCGTCTCAGCCCGATCGCCCCCTTCTCAGGGGCTCCCTTTTCCTGTGCTTCAACCTAACAACGAGGGGCCACACTGGATGGCTTTGAAGTGCTCAATATCCATGGCTGTGAAAAACCACGGGGCCAAGGCCACCTCCCAGACCTCCCAGATGTGAAGGTGAAGGAGTCCCATGGTGCATTTATACCCTTAGGCACTGTGGGCAGAGGGGCAGGAGAAGATGAATGATACAGGCTTTGAAGCTGAAATTTCAAAATCCAAAATGCTCCAAAATCTCAAACTTTCTGAGGTTCAATAGATGCTGCAAGTGGAAAGCTCCATGCACGACTTTATGTGTCAAGTCCCAACCAAAATGCTGATGCGTTAAAAATACTGTGTTACGATGCCTTTCCAGTGATGTGTATGTGGTGGAGCAGAAATGAACTTCCTGTTTAGTCTTCGTGATAGTTGATTGTGATATGTCAACTTGAGTTGAGTAGGAACCAGGTAGTGGATTAGTAAACCCTGGGCATGCCTGTGGATGATTGACACAGCAGCCAGCAAATGGAAGGGGAGGATCAGCCCCAGAGGTGGGTAATACCAGCCAATAGGCTTATAGCTTGGGCAGAATAAAAAGGGAAAGAGGGAAGTGTTTCCATTTTTGTCTGTCTTCACCATGCCTTTTTCCTTCAAGCTTTCAGCATAGACTCTTCAGACTTCTGACAGAGCCTCACACTCATGACTGCAGTGAGTTTCCAGGCTTTTGATTTCTGACTACTAGAATCTTGGCTTTCTGGCACACAGATAGGCATTTTAGATTCTTTTGCCTCTGGTCACACAGAGGGCTACTGGGACTCATGTCTGATCCTGTAAGCCTGCCTCAAAACCCCTTGTATAACCATATATATATATATAATATTATATTGTTAATTATATTACTAATATATTATTAATTATATTATTAATAGTATAATATTATATATATAATCTATTCCTCTAGAGAACCCTAACGTATACAGTCTTGGGTCTCATCTTCAAGGTACCTCATTATATAGATGTAAATATTCTGATTAAAAAAAATCTGAAATCCAAAATGTTTGCAGTGCAGAGCACTTGGGATGAGGGACATCAGCTGTCCTAGCAGTGACACCTGTCTGTTTCTCTATGTTCCCAGCAAGCCTTGCGCTCGGTCCTGCCTCCACTCTCCCATGTTAATCCCCGCAGGGCACCATGGGGCTAGATGAGGCGATGACCCCCGAGTTTCACAGGAGGAGGTGGACCTGCGTGCAGGGAGGTGAAGCCCACACAGGAAGCACCGCTAGAGTGGGCACCGGGCACTGCTTTGGCGACCTTTGTGTCCCTGCCTTTTGCTGTGTTGCCCCATAGCCTCCTTGCTTGCAAAGGGTGTGAGGCACTTGTGTCCAGAAGGCAGTGAGGACAACGAGGGACCGAGCAGAATGCAAGGAGCCCCTTTGTGTTCCCACCTCAAGGTGACACACGGGATGGGGGACTGACCTCTGAACCGCCTGTCTTCTTCCTCTTTCTCCCCCCATGCCCACAGCAGTGTGAAGCCCTCCTACCTCTGTGTCTTGAACGAGAATGTCATGTCTTCCTCCCTCCCCCATGTCCTATCTCTGGAAATCTCCTATTCAACCTGCAAAGCCCAGCTCCTCAGTGTCCAGGCCCTTATATCCCCTAGAGTCCCACTAGGGGCTTACGTAGAGATTTTGTCCCCAGTGCAACAGCACTGAGAGGTGAGGGTTTTAAATGGTATTTAGGTTGTTGGTGGGAAGTTTGTCAGGAAAGTCTCCACTGTCTTTCTTGCCCCACCCGATAATGATCCGCTGATGATATAACTCAGACCCTGGAGATGCAGCTCCGCACACTGCTGACTTTCATTATCACCGGGACACTGAGAGGTGGGCATTGTCACCCTTACGTTTTTGATTTGGGGTGAGCAACCATGGGCCAGTGCATTGTTTCTGTAAATAAAGTTTTATTGGATGCAGCAGTGCCCATTCCTTTACGTGTGCTTCCTTCTACAGGAGCAAAGTCAACTGGTTGCCATGGAGACAATAATCCCCCCTCCCACCTCAATTTTTTTTACTACCTGGCCCTTGGCGTGAAAAGTGGGCCAAACCCTGTAAACCAAGATGAGGAGCCGAGGTTCAGAGAGGCTGAGGGACTCGCTCCTGTGAATTCAGCAAGCAAGGACAGGCCTGGGGTTTGAACCTGGAACCTCAGACTTCTAGGTAGGTGCTTTTTTGTGCCCCAAATGTCACCCTTGCTTTCTTCCAGGCTCCCTTCCCACGAGGTCCCCCAGTGCTCACCGGGGCTTCTCCAGTGACAGCCGAGGACTACCGGGGTCAGGCATGGCTGCTTTAAGGGACACTGCGCCAGAAAAAGGGAGTGAGGTGGAAGAATTCCTTTTCTTCCTTTGCGTTGTTGAAGAGTGAAAGCACAGGTCTCATTTTCTATGCAAGTCCACCAGAACCAGTGGTGCTGACAAGGAGCTGACCCTTCACGGCCATGCTGGGTCCAGTTCCCTCCAAGGGACCATCGCCATCCTGGCAAGGCTCGGGGGCTGGGATGGGGAGGCCCTGCTCCGGGTCCCTGGGAGACAGACTCCTTCCCACACCCACACCCAGACTCCTCCTCCGATACCTCCCTCACCGCATCCCCATTGCGGGTCCCTGGGGCCCAGCAACTTTGGGGGCTGCTTCCTCTTGCCTGGCCCTGGCAGCTTTATTTCAAACTGAGGCGCGATTACAGATCCAGTTCTTTTTTCCTTTTTCTTTTCAATAAAGCTGTTTTGTGTCTCCACCGCCCCCCTCTGCTGCATTCCTCCCATCTGAGTCGTCCCCTTGCCCCTCCTGTAGGAAATGTCTCGGATTCTCTCACTGGGGTGTAATGGTTAAATTGCTACCAGCTGATTAAACAGCAGCAGCGAAGAAACTGTAATCCTCAGCCTGGGGAACCTGGGAAGGCAGGGGTGAGTGTCCTGACCCCCCTGCCATGCCCCCAGCTTCACTCTCTTTCATTTGGATGTGCAGGGAAGGGGTGAGGAGAGGCGAGGAGGAGGCGGAGGGAGGGGGGAGGTGGCCTCACCGCCCAGTCCAGGCTCCAGGGAAAGTGGCCTCTCACCCCTGCCCCTGCCCTGCCCCCCTGCAAACCCACACACACACCACCCATGCACAGTTACACACTCGCGTGCTCATGGTCATTTGCATGCTCACACATAGCCACACATACACTTTCTTAAACTCGTGCATGCATACAATGAACATGCATCAATGCATGATTGCACGCTCACAAACCCACCGTCACATGTTCACACACTTGCATACCCCCCTTTCCTTCTCCCTCTCTGCAGAATGAAGACCAGATGACAAAGAGGCGCCCCTGCCCTGGCCCTTCCTCCTGGGAAATCTTTCCCACACCTGCCCCCCACTCAGGAAGGAGCGGAAAGACAGGAGCAAGAGATCAGAGAGGGCTCTCTTGGAAGACGGAAAAGGCAGGCTTGGGGTTTTCTCCACCCAACCGAAACGAGATCATGAAGTCAGTGCTGACTTTCTTGGAGCCTCTCTGAGCCTCGTTTGTAGGTAGGGACAGTGGCCTTGCAAGGGGGCCACAAGGATCGAGGGTCTAATGCACCTCAGAGCACCCACCCGACCCTGAGTTATGAGAATGAACTGCTGAGATTGGGGTGCAACGCAACCGAAATAGCCTCCCAACAAGGGCCACCGGAAAAGCCATGTGCCTCTGGGCTGCTTGCTGGACTCTCCGATCCTTACCTCTTCACCTGCAAATTGGCCTGGGACAGCTGGGGGAGCCCCCGGGTGTTCCAGAGTCAATGGGTACCAGGATCCCACCAGAGAGTAGCTCTGTCCCCTGTCAGCTCAGGCTGTGGGCTAAGAATAGCAGGGCAACCAGCCTCCTTGGGAAAGTTTATTTCTGTGGAAAGTCTAGTTCAGTCGAGTGGAGAATCTGGCCTTGATTTCCCCCCCACGCCCCCCACACCCCGCTCAGAAACCAGACAGACGTGTGCCCGGATGAAGGAGGAACTGATGCACGGCGTGGGAGAAGTGGCCACCCGTCTCGGCAGCGACCTTTCTCTTTCCACTGGGGAGAAAAGGCCACCACGTGGGAGACGAGAAGGCAGAGGGTCTGGCCACCAAGGGCTGCAGGTCAGGCTTGTTTCTGGGGGGAACCTAGTGGTGCCCCCCAGTCTACAACCTTAGGAGTGACCTTATTTAGGGTTACGGTCTCTGAAGACGTAATTAAGGCAAGAATAGAGATAAGATCACACTGAGTTAAGATTTGCCCTACATTCACAGGAGTGTCCTCACAGAAGACAGGAATGGAAGGACAAACATCAGATGCAGGGATGGAGCGAAGCTGCGGAAGCAGCTCCAGGAACCTCCGGAAGTTGAAAGAGGCAAAGACTACTTCTCCTCCAGAGATTTTTGCAGTAATTTCTTAGAGCAGCCTCAGGAAACCAATACGCCTTGCAAAAGCCATGATGCCATTTTGCAGATGGGGCAGCTGAGGCACAAGGAAGAAAAGCCCTCTGTCTAAAAAAAAATTAAGACGTGTTATGTACATGCCACCAACTCCCCATGATAAAAACAAGTGTTACGTGCTGCAAACATGCACATACTGATACAAAATAAAAGCGGGCAGTTGGGAGTGAAGGCAGGATTCCAACTCGGGTCTGTCTGAACCTCGTATGGCCAAGGCCACCCTTCGAGAAGGGGCATTTCTGTAGGAGAGAAGTTCCAGCAAAGAGCCAGGGAGGCTGAGGTGAGATCTGCTGCCAGCATGCTCTCCTAGGCTGTGTGTCCATGGGGGTCCCACCAGCACCCCACCCAGCCCCAGCTCCATCCACCCCCAAGCCTCCTCTCTCCAGAGCTGAGAAGTGCCATGGGAACTCAAGGGACAAGGGACAAAGCAGCTCTGCTCACAGCTGGACCAGAACCATCTTCCTCTACGGAAGCTGCCTGACCTCAGGGTGGGCAAAGAGGTACTGACCCTGCCCTGCGGCCCATGGCTGAGTGTTTACCTAGAAGTGGGGGCAGGCAGGCACCCAGGCAATAGCATTTAAGGAGGTTCTGGCTCTCAAGGTCCTGCAAATGCCAACTTTGGGCTTGTGTGGATATGCAAATGAGTGCTTCCTTAAAAGCTTCCTGCCCTATTCCTGCCCTTACCTAGGGTTGATTTATAGAGGACCAAAAGACCTGGGGGTGGGGCATTGGCAGCTGTTGGTCTTCAGAGTCTCACAGACAGGGGTTCAAATCCTGATTTTAGCCACTTAGTACCTGAGTGACCGTGGATGGGTCTGTTCCTATGCATGGACTCAATTTTCTCATCTATACAGCAGGGATTATAGAATAAAATCCACTTTCTCAGTAGTTATGGATGAGAAGAGTCGCATGTAAAGTGCCTGGCACTCAGTAACTTAGCACTTATTACCTTTTTTTTTTTTTTTAAGCTCAGAAAGAGGAAATCAGGGGGTGGCAGAGAATAATGGCCGCATGGGAATCAATGGGTGGTTCCCTGGAGCTCAGCAGGATTGGTAATTTCTCCTTGAAGCAAAGCCAGGATGAGGCTGGGAGGGCAGAGCCCGGGGATGCCACACCTCTGGGGTGGCCGGGAGCTCTGCCCCTCATCTGCACACCACCCAGATGGCTCCTGGTGGAGGAGCACTGCAAGGAGAGTCCACTCACTGAGGCACCTCCATCCAAGCCAGAGACGGTGAGAAACCGGGTCTTGGTGAGAAGGACAGGGTGGGTGGAGCAGCCAAATTCATTTCTTCTCCCAGTCTACACAGCCCTCAGCCCCCCACTGCTGTGAGGTCGCATTTTTCCAAACCTAGTATGCCAGGCCTGTGCCCACTGCCAGGTGAAAAAGGCACACAGTTTCTCATACCAGTTTTCCTGTCTGCATTTATGTATGTATGTGTGTTTTGGAAACAGGATCTCCTTATGTGGTTGAGGCTGGCTTCAAACTCTGAGATCCTCCTGCCTCAGCCTCCCCAGTACTGGGATCATTGGCATGCACCACCATGCTTGGCATCTACTTTTATTTTATAAGTCCATTGATTTGTCTTCCCAGCCCTTGTTCCCACTTTAGAGAGAAGGGCTCTCACTTAATGTCCCTATTTCTGTATCTATTCTTTATTTATTTAGAGAATCAGGCTTTCTGAATCCCCTAATAGTCTAGCTTAAAAGGCAGCCCTCGCCTGGTTCCTTGTGCTTGGCTTGAACCCAGCACCTTCATCTGCGCTTCTGCCAGGCTCCTGATGCCAAGTTGACACTTCTCCATTGGTGCAATTAGCACCTCGCTAATGAGAGCTACTACCGTTTATTGAGCTGTTACTATGTGCTAGGCGCTGCGCTAAAAGCTTTTCCCACATCCTCCCATTTCCACCTGGCAAGACCAGAGCGGGGAGGATGCACGGAGGCCTGAAGAGAGCAAGCTGTCTGGCTCCTCGCCACAGACTTGAGCCATCCCCATAGGCCACACTGCACTGGGGTCACCCCCTGGGTCACCATGTCCCCCAGGGGATGCTACTTGGGAGAGCAGGGAGGCACAGCTGTGATTTTAAAAAGTAAATTATGTAAACTTACATTAATTTAATTATATTTTACAATGAAGGCAATGATACTTAAAATTCTTCAATTAATTTAGTTCATTTTTCTGTCAACTGTGCCCTGGGGACTATTTATGCCTGTTAGATCTGGATGGAGGAGATGCAGCTCCCCCTGATTCTGCCTCCGCTAGCCCGAGCCTGCCCTGGTGGAAGGATTCACACCATGGAGAGGGCCAAGTCCATGGTCAGGGTTCTCCTCCAAGAAGCCCATGATTAAACATTTACTAGTGCACCTTGGAGCATAGCTTCTACTGTAGATTTTAGAATCTCCCCACATCCTCATCCCCATAATCTTTTTTTTTTCAATACTGGAGATTCTACCCAGAGCCTTCACATTGAGCTACATCCCAAGCCCATTTTTTTTTTTTTTTTTTTTTTTTGGTACCGGGTCTCTCTAAGTCACTGAGTTGCCCAGGCTGAGCTCATACTTGGGATCCTCCTGCCTCAGCCTCGCAGAGTGTTGGGATTGCTCCAGGCACTTCCACACCACGCTGACACTGAGTCTTGTGCATGCTAGGCAAGCGCTCTGCCATGGAGCCACAACCCCAGCCCTTAGGGTCCCTTTGAGCAGATGAAGCAGCAGAGACAGGAATGTGAAGCAATTTGCCCAAGGTCAACAGCTATGAAGTGGTGGAGCCAAAATTCGATCTCAGCTCGTGTGCCATTTCCAGTGCACAGATGTAACTTCCTGTCTGCTAAAGCAAAAAATCGAGAAGCTAGCTCCTTCCCCACCTGCTGGCACCCAGTGCTGCCCTGTGTCTGGTGATGGGAAACAGGAAGTTCTGGGATCCCCAGCCCTGCAGGGGCCTCCACTGAGAGGACAGCAGTTGAGTCTGTGCCCTGGGAGGGAGGGGGTAGGAAGAGTGAGACGAAAAGCTGACAAGTTCAAGTTTAAACAGACGGAGATCTCATTCTGCTCACTTGAGCATTCAAGAGCTCGTGCTAAGTTGGCCAATTAAAAGCAATTTCATCTCTAGCGCCTCTTTGAGTGGTATTTAAATAAGACTTAAAAATTAATCTTTCATTTATCCCAAGAATAAAGCAACCTGCCTGCCTTCCCCTCACACTGAACCACTTGTTTCCCAATGATGAGGTATAAAGTGTAATTAACCTCATTAATCCCAGACCTGAGCTGCAGGTCTTCCCACACGACACAGACCTAACGCAATAGCTTGCTCCTTTCGGTTACACGTGTATTTTTTATGTAGATTCACAGTCCCTCTTGTGAAAGAATCATGAGCTCAGCAAATATCAGAGAAGCCTGAAACTCATCAGTTGGTAAATATCACTGGTGTGGTGTTCGGGAGGGCAGAGAACTCAGCCCGGCTGCCCCCAGGGAGTGTGATCCTTGTTCCGGAGAATTTTCTAATCCTGCTGGGGATTCAGAAGCAAGCATCTACTAAACGCTCGAAGAGCAGTTAGAGAGGAAACGCAGCTGTTCACAATATACATGGCAGGGTTTTTCCTATTTGACAATTATTATTCGAAAGATGCAAATTAATACAATGCTTAGAGATGAATTTTACAAACTTTCAAGCCAGCAAAGGAGAGGACTAAAAGACCTCAAGAGTGTTCAAAACGGATGAGAATTTGGTGAGATTGATGTTTTTTGGGGTTTTCGTTTTTGTTTTTGTTTTGTTTTGAGGGTTCTCGGCCTTCACACTGAGTTACATCTCCAGCCTCTTTTTAAATTTTGTATTTTGAGCCAGGGTTTCGCTAAATTGCTCAGACTGGGCTGGAACTCATGATCCTCCTGCCTCAGCCTCCCAGAGTGCTGGTATTACAGGCAGGCACCGCCACACCTGGCAGACATGTTTTTCATTCAGGATAAGTAGTATAATCTCTGAGAAACAGATGTGGGAAATAATGCCTCTCTCTACCTTATTGTTCACTACAAACCCTCTTAGTTATAGTGTGGGATTTTTCATACCCTCTTCGCCTCTGTACCTGAGGGTGCATGGACCCAGAAGTCCATGCCAGGCTCTGATGCGGGTTCTCATCTGGGTTGCAGACAGCCAGCTTCCTGCATCCTCCTAGGCAGAGAGGGCATAGGAGCTCCCTGGGGTCAATTTGATAAGGGCACTAATCCCACTCATGAGGGCCTCACCCTTGTGACCTACTCACCTCTCAAAGGCCACCTCCTCGGCCTATTCATTCCTGGGGGATGGGTAGGATTTTACCCTAGGAATTTGGGGCACAAACAGTTCATTGCAAGAACCCTTGCTGTTTGTCTATCTGGGACCTGTTCTCCCTTCTTCCGTTAAAGGCATCCAATATTTCCTGCACTTGAGTGACTAGTTTCTGGTCAATAGAATACAGCATACAGCAAAACTAACGGATAATGGATTCACTTCTGGGATTAAGCTACAGATATCTGTGATTGCGTCCTGCTAGCAAGATTTGTTTGTTTTTTTGAGGCAAACTTGTGGTAAATTACCCAGGCACTGCTCAAACTAGGGATCCTCCTTCCTCAGCCTCCCACAGTGCTGGGATTGCAGGGGTGTACGACCACACTTGGCTGCAGATTCTCTTTATTGCTCTAGGAGTTCATATGCTTTACAAATGATGAAACACACTGAACGAAGGGCTGCCCTCAGCCAAAGGCAACAGGCAGCAGCCGGGGAGGACTCAGAATGCTCAGTCCCACATCCTGAGAGGAAATGAGTACAGTCAGCTCTCCGCATTCAGAAGTTCCGCATCTGTACATTCAACTGACTGCAGAGAAAATATTTGGAAATTTTTTTGTTTGTACTGGACATGGACAGGCTTTTTCCTTGTCATGATGCCCTGAGCAATATCGGGTAACAACTAGTTATGGAACATTTATGTTGTATCAGGTATTACAAGTCATCTAGACATGATGAAAGCCCACAGAGGGACACGGAGAAGTTGTATGCAAATGCTGTGCTTTTTTGTATAAAGGAACTTGAGCACCTGTGGATTCCAGTATCTGCAGGAAGAGGTGTAGATCCGAGGGGTGCTGCACACAACTTTACAGAGTAACAATTTGGAAAAGTTAATTTCCCAAGCTGCCCAGCAATGATTGGAACCCAGGTTCCTGTGACCCGGAAGCCCATGCTCTCCAGCATATGGTAAAAGAGATCGCACCTCACAGGCAATGGGGAGCTACAGAAAGTTAGGGAGGGAGAGTGAGCCCATCAGAACCCTAATCTCGATGGAACACCAGCATCTGAGAGGTCAGAAAGTTTCTTTTCCCCTCTAACATCAATCTCTTTTATGCTAGGCTCATTGTCCCTGGTCTGATTTTCCAGGAGACAGGCAGAACCACTCCTAGAGGCTGCCCCATAAAACCCCCAAGAAGGTAATTAAGTCCATCTCAGCTGGCTCCTCGCAGCCCCATTATTCTTCCTTGGTGGACCTGAAGGTCTCAGTCTTTGATCTTCTGCCCTGCGGCTTCTCCAGCCACAGAAGGGGGCTTGGGCCCAGTGTGGGAACCGCCAAGGGAGGGCGAGTGTCCGAGGGGACCCAAAACAGTGGCCAGGCTTGGGCCTGACCCCTGGACCACCGTGCACCCCAGGGATGGGTCTGGAATCCAAAAGCCATTTCATGGGTTGTCACTTTCACCTCTCCCCTTCCGGGAGAGGGCCCAGTGTGGGGTGCACGCCCGTAACCCCAGCACTCAGGAGGTTGAGGCGGGAGTCTGAGGCCAGCCCGGGCTGTGGATGAGTGCAAACCAGCTTGGACTACACAGCGAGACCC